CGGGGCCTCCCCGGGGTTAGCGCGGCATTGACTGGAATGAGCCACAGGGATTTCCACCAGCTGAGGATCTGGCCCCCAGTCAATTTAGTACAGCCAGGTGAGTCTGGAGTGAGCGGCAGGTTCACGCTCTCCTTGGGGTTGCACTGCGCTCTCCCCTCTGTCAGGCTGGGGAAGGGGAGGCTGTGGGCCCGGGGGCATGGCCGGAGCCAGCTGCAGTCGGTGCAGTGACCTCAGTGGGCTGTGGACGAGGCCCATAAGCAGGGCCATGAGAAGTTAATGACTGACCCCCGCTGCCCTCTCTTCCCGTTCCTGCGTTCCCATCTCGGGGGTGCCTGGGACGTGCTGTGCCACATGCTTTGGTTCTGGGCACTGAGATCGGAGTTGCTGCTGTCAGCATTAGGAGCCACAGACTGACTTGGGCTCTTTGCTGGCCTGTCAGGCGCAGGGAAGTTGCTACCCCCAGCCGTCAGAAGCCCTTCGTTACCATGGCCACAAGAGCTGTAGAGAACTCTGAGGGGTGGCCCGGGGGTGGATCGCTGCAATGTCTCATTGCTGGGTGTCTTGGTCCCGTACCAACAACAGAGTCCAGAGAGCAGAACTGAGCTCAGGAATTGGCTGTGGTTCTCCCCTGAGACATTAACACTCTGATCTGTAGGTTCTTGGAGGAGAATCAGCCAGACAACTGGCATCAGGGGACAGAAGGCAGAGAAGACTGTGTTGAGACCCGCTCAAGCAACCGGAATTTGTGGAATGATGCCAACTGCACTCTGCCTTTCAGGAGGATTTGTAAGCAGGCCCATGGACAGGCTGGGTTATGAATAGTATATACCTCGATAGTATTCATCACCATGTATTTTTGACAGGTTTCCATGCTCCATTTAGGGCTTATGTCCTGCCCTCTGTTCTCGTTTCTGTTGGTGTCAAGGTTTGGTGCTGTTGGCCATTTTGAAAAAAAAAGTTTGATTATTTTTTGTTTGGATGGGGGAATGTTGCGTGTGTGTGCTTTGAAACATTTGGTTGATTGTTTAAAGAAAAAGGTTGAAAGAATAGAGTGAGAGATAGAAAGATTTGGGAAGGGTTAGAGGGGAAAAAAGGAAAGAAAGATTGTTTGCTTAGATTTAGTAAGAAGAGATTATTTTAAAGGTGTAGTTTGACATATTAAAGAATATAAAGAGAACTGAAAGAATAATAAAGATTTTTCTTTTTCAAGGGTTAGTTTGAAAGAAGAGAGGCAAGTTATTAAAGAAAAGAAAAATTTGGTGAGTATGAGAAGGAGAGGTGTTTTTAAAGGACTAGTTTGGTATGTTATTAAAGAATAAAAATATTTGAGGTAAATGTAAAAGTTGTATTAAATATAAGGGTAGGTTAAGAAAAGAGCATTTAAAAACATGAAATAATATTGAAAAATAGGCTAAAAAAGAACACATGGCAAAATGGCATTTACTAAGGTAGAGACTATTTAGTAAGCTCCTGGTAAAAATATAAAGGTTGGTTAAGAAAGATTCATTTAAACTATTAAATACAAGGACAGGTTAAGAAAAGAGCATTTAAAAAGTCTTAAATAAAAGAGAAACATATAAAGATTGGTTAAAAGAGAGAACAGGGCAAGAAAAGCCCCTTTGCAAAGGGAAAGATAGACAGCACGTGGTTGAGTCAGAGAGAGAGAGAGATCTTACCCTTGCGGCTGTTCCTGGGGAAAGAGGCAACTTCCCAGGTTCACAGCCCCTCAGGATAGTTATCTCCACCTTTGGATTGGACCAATC